CTCACTCACTCACTCACTCACTCGCTCGCTCACTCACTCACTCACTCACTCATTCACTCACTCACTCATTCACTCATTCACTCACTCACTCACTCATTCATTTACTCACTCACTCACCCACTCACTCACTCACTCACTCATTCACTCATTCACTCACTCACTCACCCACTCACTCACTCACTCACTCACTCATTCACTCACTCACTCACCCACTCACTCACCCACTCACTCACTCACTCACTCATTCACTCACTCATTCACTCACTCGCTCACTCACTCACTCACTCACTCATTCACTCATTCACTCACTCACTCATTCACTCATTCACTCACTCACTCACTCATTCACTCACTCACTCATTCACTCATTCACTCACTCACTCACCCACCCACTCACTCACTCACTCACTCGCTCGCTCACTCACTCACTCATTCACTCACTCACTCACTCATTCACTCATTCACTCACTCACTCACTCATTCATTTACTCACTCACTCACCCACTCACTCACTCACTCATTCACTCATTCACTCACTCACTCACCCACTCACTCACTCACTCACTCACTCATTCACTCACTCACTCACCCACTCACTCACCCACTCACTCACTCACTCACTCATTCACTCACTCATTCACTCACTCGCTCGCTCACTAACTCACTCACCCTCTCACTCACCCACTCACTCACTCACTCACTCACTCATTCACTCATTCACTCACTCACTCATTCACTCATTCACTCATTCACTCACTCATTCATTCACTCACTCACTCATTCACTCTGCAACTCACCTAGTCCCTGTTATATCGAATAAACTAAACACGAGATTATCTATTTAAAGCGCTGATTTCATTTTTTTAGTCCAGTCAACGTGTACATACTGAATTCACTGTATAGAATAATCAACCAGGTGTAAAATGATGAAAGAATAAATTCATTCAACGAGAAAGAAGAAATGTTCTTTGCAAGATAATAATCATTCTAAAAAAAAACAAACTGAAAACGTGTATTTTTATTCTCCTCATTCATACATATATGATAATCTATTAGTTGTAAATGCCATCAAATTGCATCATTAACAAATTATTCAAGTATTGAATAAAATTTTATTCTCTTTAAATAGACAAAGGAATTAAGTAATAATGCATAAAGCTAGAAAAAGGATTTAGAAAAGAAAGAAAGAGGTATTCGATGTGTGTCCATTTTGAAACATATGAGTGTTACGTCAAAGGTGAACAAAATAATGAATGAATATTTTGTATTCAAACAAACAGAATGAAAGGAGAGATTAGGACAATAACAAACTGATAGATTTGGTATACTGTATCCTTCAACACAAAAACCAGGCTAAGAATTGATGAACCTTTCTCCAAACACAGACACACACACACATACACATAGAGTCAGAAGGGAAGTGAATGCCAGAAGTAGGAGACTGTAGACCATTAAGTTCCGATTCAGTGGCCTTGTAGTGAACATGTTCACCATGAAACCTGAAGGTTCAGAGTTCCACCCCTAGCCTGATCGTGAGTGTAACCTGTTGAGGAGTCACGTACTAGGACGAAACAGTTGTTCAATGTTGTTAGGTTCTCAATAGTTCTCCAACTGATTTCAATCCATAATGAATACCACCTTGAAAATCTACAATATAATTTTTTTTTTCAAAAATCTATATTTATTCATAAAGACTTCTTTGAGAATGTAGAATTTTGTCGAATACTTTATCTGAACATCAAGTTTTTTTTTTTACTATCCCTTGAGAAATTCTCATTTCTTTTATGCGTAAATGTTTCAACTTTTATGATTTAAAAACTGTTTCATCTCTTTAAGAATATTTGAATTTTTAGGCTAGATGGAGACTATAGAAGAGAAAATACATTAGTTTATTTAGATTTACACTTTAGCATTATTAATGTATTCGACGAAGAATCGATCATGTACAGCTAAATGGAATATGTGTATATGGATATGAATTCGATACCTAATACCCCATAACGATTTCAAAACAATTTTAATACAAAGACTATCAATTAACAACCATCAATGTGCACCACAATGGTGAACCTTCGTACTAAGTAGTCACATTCGGTCAGCATCCATGACTAGACAATGTGAAGTTAGTTACGCTGCAGTGACCAATCAATGCATCTAATTCAGCGCTACAACAGGTCAGTTACAACCTGAATAGCTCAGTGGTAATTTCACTGACCACAACACTGAGTGATACTCATTTAAGTGTCATAAGGGATACCATTTCCATCGAGGTTGAATATACACCCTGCTGACGAATTAGTTGGAAACCTCGCCTGGTTAACTAGTTTACTAGTTACTAGACAGTCCTAAGCCCGGGTAAACACGGAAGGTTGGGCATACGGCTAGCAACCCTCCCCCGGAAAACAAATCCAACCGCTAAAGAAACTTCAAAGCACAAACAAAACAAAAAATAATAACAAAATTATTCCTCACTGGAATCGGAGAGGCGAAATGATGCCGGTTGGTGAAAGCCTTCGGGAAGCCAATTAGCCGGGCTGACGTGTCTTCGCTTCTCTCGATAAAAGCGAAAGTAAACGTGGGGACATGAAATGTCCACACCATGTTTAAACCCAGCAAGGCAGCCCAGACTGCAAACGAGATGAGAAGGTATCACACTGAAGTGCTCGGAATTTGTGAAAGCAGAGGGAATGGGAGTGGACTCTCCAAACTGTCAACTGGAGAATCAATAATCTTCTCCAGTCACCCAGACGACAACCACGAGCACACTGAGTATTGGAGTGGCTATCATGATGTCCCCAACAGCATCGAAGGCTCTCATGCAGTGGGAACCAATCTCCTCCTCCAGGATCATGACGGCAAGGTTCAACTCAAAAAAAGGAAGATCACAATCATACAATGCCAATGCTATGCTACGCACCTACAAATAATGCAGAGAAAGAGGAAAAGGAGGAATTCTATAGACAACTGCAATCAACACTGAACAAGACCCCACTCCAGTTGGCATCATCAAAATCCACTTTAATGGACGACATGAATGTCAAACTGAGTGGTGGGGGTTGGGACAACACACGAAGAGAACTAACCATGGGTAGAGAAGCGCTCGGTGAGGTGAGGTGATGAACGAGAATGGAGAATAGTTTGCAGAATTCTGTGCATTCAACGATTTGGTGATTGGAGGCCAGGCAGTGTGTTCAAGCACAAGGATATCGACAAAGCGAGTGACATGGGTTTCACCAGACACCAGGACACACTACATTGAAAATCAGATCGACTTCATCTCAATGTGAAGAAAGTGGAGACGCAGACAGCCTACTTGACACAAGGTCAAGATGAGGAGCAGATGTAGGTCCACACCACTCACTGTCTTGTGCAAGGAACCTTCAAAACCCAATTGAATACCTTCAAGGAAGTTGGTAATAGACCACAGTTCAAGTTCAACACCCAGAAGGGAAACTGAAGAATGAAAATACAAAGATCATCTTCAGAGCATCCACAAAGACAAAATGGGAGATATCGAGGAACATCCATGAAGAAACCTGTGTGGAAGAACACTGGAAGTCTTTGAAAGAGATGTGGAAAGAAACCTGTACATTCGTATTAGGAAGGAAGAAGAAAAAAGAAAGGGCGAGGAATGGATCTTGATGGATACATGGAAGCAGATAGAGGAGGGAGAGGAGGATGGTGATGGTGAAGCAGAAGATAAACCAGTGAAGTGCAAGGATGCACAACGAGAAGAAGAACTGAGTACAATGAATAAAACACTGCACTGGACAAAGAGGTGAAGAAGAGTGCGCGCAAAGACTTCATCCAACAACTATATGAAGACATCACATGCCAAGTAACTCACAAATGGGAAGCTCAGTGATGCTTTTGAAGCGGAAGTGAAGACAGGAGTGAAACAAGGCTGTCTACTATCACCCACGATATTCCTGATTGTGGTCGACTGAACTGGATCATGCAACAAACAGTCAGGAGCTGTGAGAAGAGGCGGACACAATGGCTGGACTGGAGAAAAGAACCTAGAAGACTTGGATTTCGCCAACCATGACTTGTGTCTAATGTCACACAAACTCGAAGATCTACAGGCGAAAACTAACAAGTTGACAGAAGAGGTAGGACAGGGCAGAACAGGGCAGGACAGCGAAGACGGGACTTCAAGTGAAGGTAGAGAACACAGAAGTGATGATGATAACCAACCAACACCAACACCATCATCACCACCACCACCAGAAACAACAACAACAAGCTCCAATCACCATCAACAGGAGAAACTCAAAGGAAGTAGCCTCCTTCAACTATCTAGGCAGCACTCTTGCAAATACAGGAGGCACAAGCATAGACGAGGATGACAAAACCAGTCAGGATCGCAAAGACAGCAAGACAAACATCCATTCAACTGAAACCAGTGTGGACATCTTCTGCACTCAGCATGTGGAACAATATCCGGATGTTCAACATTAATTCAGTCAAGTAAGTCAGTACTTCTGTGTGGTGGATGAGAGACTTGGCGAGTTACGAAAGGCACTTCCAACAAACTACACACATTCTTCAACAACTGCCACCTACACTGGCTCGTTACTCAAGATCCAATGGATTGTCAGAATAATGAGAATAAGCAAGAAGAAACTCATTCTGGCTGACTGACTGACTGGCAACGAACCAACCAACAACCTATCACTCAAAAAATATGCACTGGAAGGAAATGGAGATGGATTGGTTTTGACATGCACTGAGAAGATCATTCGGAGACATCACGCGTGAGGCCAGTCACTCGAGTGGAACTCAGATGGGAAACGATGATTTGGGCGTTCGAGGTGAGGGTGACATGCAGGAGGTCGTGCGAGGATGAAATGAGAGCTTGTGGGCTGTCGTGGAACCAGGTTGAAAAGATTGGAGAGAATAGAGTGCATTGGAGACGTGCTACTGAATCCCTCTGTTCTATTAGGAACCCAAGGGATAAATAATAATGATTGTTTAAGGAAAAATAGTAATATGCTTACCTTGTTACAACCAGATTTGAGGGCTTTATTCATCAGAATTCTTCTTTGGTCAACAGAACTAAAAATCAAATTATAAGGAGGAATGAGTTAAGTTAGAGGGAAGAAAATCGAGAAGTTAAGTCGAAACAAAGGCATGCATCTGTATCCCTTTAAGAGCCTTGAGTATCAATCAACTCAAAGTTGAAGATAATCAGGCGAGAATCTAGGTCAACCTTAACATCCACCAATCATTTCATATCATATACTGTAATTAATACCAGCTGAACTACTATTTACTGATGACTTAAATCTTACATCGGGAAGCGACGAGTTGGGCGTCCGAGGGTGACATGCAGGAGATCGTGCGAGGATGAAATAAGAGCTTGTGGGCTGTCGCGGAACCAGGTTCGAAAAATTTCAGAGAAGAGAGTGCATCGGAGACGTGCTACTGAAGCCCTATGTTCCACTAGGAACCCAAGGGATAAATTATAATAAATAATAACACCTTACATAAGAAAATAATGTTGAGAGCATATTACATGGCCATTGTGGATGCAGTCTGATGTAGAACGTACATTTTTTTCAATAGAAAGACAACAAAACATTGAAGAGATGTTTAATCAAACGATTCTTTGCAATACTTTTTTCATGGAAAGCATATTGTAGCCTTTCATGGAATAAACCCAATAATAATTATTATATACTACTGAAAAAGTTGATGGATTAAACCAGTTGGTCAAATTAGACTACTGTGTAATATGAATTTGTCTAACTACACTGTCGATGAGTTTAACTCAAACAGAGATGGAATGTCATTTAGTGTTTAAACTACTTTGATCTGGCAAGTGAAATCCTCAGATCAGTGTTATTGGCTTCTTACTATTCATATCGTTCAAAAGTAGAAATCATCGGTTAGTAATACACTTTTCTCCATCCAAGATTAAAGTTTATGGTTTCCACCGAAAAATCCTCTTGACATCTCAGTTGTGCAGTTGAGAAAACTAATCAACTTTTAGGAATATCAATACTATTCATACAATCAGTAGAATATTTAAAAGCTTATCATACATACTGGCATTCATTACCTCGTTCCTCTCCGTTAACTGATTAACACAGTCAGCTAATTCCTAGTGAAATTCATCAGTTTACTGAAAATAATACCGTCTCAAAGGCCGCTAATTTGTAGTTGAATGAATCACTTTTATGCATAACAGTTTTGTTTTTACCATATATGATATGAATCACTAAGAATTCTCATTACAATTCAAAAGCTATTTGCGTGAACAATAAATTTGTGCGTCCGGAATCGAGCCATGATAGTTATGGCGATAACACTTACTTTTTCTGAACACAAGATTCTGATTGCTACTGCTTTTGATGTCTGAAGGATTCGGAGTTGGATACCTGTTGGAATCCGGTTCAGGAAGGAAAAAGGAATTATTCATATCCACCTTATGATTCTTAGAACAGTGGTCAATGTAACTGATTCCACAGGAGCAGTCGAACTGATAAACACAATAGGAAATGACCAATCTAGGCAATTCACTTCACCTTAACACTGATTAAGCAGAATAAAGTTCTTTAGAACCAGTTGACCATGATTATGATTAGTTGTCAGGGACAAATTAAACCAGCTATGCATGAAGGAAGAAAATTAGATGAATCTTAGAGTGCTTGAACTCATACCTAACTTAAAGCTGTTCTCGATTCAAAGCAGTATAAAAATGGAATTAAAAAATTTCACACTAATTTCCTAATTATGCTACTTCTTCAACTGATCATAAATCTATGCGTTAAAATGATGGAAAAGATTTATAGCTCAGGATGGGGATGATGATGGTTTACTATTTTCTGAGATTTGATATTCTGTCGTGGATATTTCATCACCGGGTATGGTGATGAGCAACAAAACGCAAACTTAAAGTGTCAGTTCATCTTGGTGTTATATACGTTTAGAACACAGAGTCTAATGTAAAATCATATTCTTCATACACACAATAAAATAACTTCAGCTCACCAGTGTCGACTGAGTAATCCAACAATAACTGAATCTTTTGTTTGAGAATAGTTTCTAAGCTGTTTACACCAGTTGCTCAATGATTGACTAATAATATTATTTCTATTATTGTTATTTTCTATGAAACTGGAAGGTTTGACACCTGGTATACTCATAGAACGATTGATTTTCAATTTCCGAATGTCCAAAATTACTAAATCAATCGGCTGTAAATGTAAAGATGGCAAGTTGGAGAAGAAAAAAAGAAACATTATCAAGTAAACTTCAAAGACAAAGAAATAGGTCAGCAATTTTCTGATAATAAAATATTTTCATAGTAATATTCAAGATTTAAACAGATTTTAGCTATGTATAAGTGATACTGTATCGTAAAAACTGACCAATAAATGAAAATGGTTTCAGTATTCAAGTTCTAAAACTCAGTTGAATTTTATCAATAAAGGAGATTTATACGATAGCAAAAAATAGCCTACTGATGGGAAAGATTTCTAGCTAGGGATGAGGTGTTGTTTAAGATTAGATATTTTGTCGTGGACATTTCATCATCAGGCCTGATGATATACCCAGTCCTAACTTTGTAAAGAGGAGAGCTTACGAGGGGAACAGCTCTTCTTCCTACAGAAGTGTTGAATGAAGAACTTCTTGTCAAAAAGTATTAAATATAGATCACTCATCTATTATCCTTTTGGGTGGAAGATTTCAACGACAACAACAACAACTACTAACAGTAGATTAACTAAATACATTAGCGTAATCAAGACTTAACAACAAATCTTAGGATTATTAATCATAACAGATGTGATGAGCGAAATAATAACAACCATTAGTACGGCAATTTAAAACCAAGAGCAAAAAAATGTGGGAAACTCAAGCGAAAATAGATTTTATTATCATTATTCTTAGTCCCTTGGGTTCCTAGTGGAACATAGGGCTTCAGTAGCACATCTCCAGTGAACTCTGTTCTCTGAGATCTTTTGAACTTGGTTCCACGACAGCCCACAACCTCTCATTTCCTCCTCGCACCATCTCCTCCATGTCACCCTCGGACGTCCAACTCGTCGCTTCCCATGGGGATTCCACTCGAGCAACTGGCCTGACGCGTGATGTCCTCAGTCGGCCTTCTCAGTGTATGCCCAATCCATCTCCACTTCCTTCTGCATATTTGTTGCGTGATAGGTTCTTGGTTGGTTCATTCCCAGAGCTCCTTGTTGCTTATTCTTTCTGGTAATCCATCTGATCTTCAGTAGCGAGCCAGCGTAAGCAGTTGTTGATGAATGTCTGTAGTTTATTGGAAATGCCTTTCCTAACGCGCCAAGTCTCTGAACCATACAGAAGCACTGACTTGACGTTGGTGTTGAAAATCCGTATCTTGTTCCACATGCTGAGTGCAGAAGATCTCCACACTGGTTTCAGGCTAATGAACGCCTGTCTTGCTTTTCCGATTCTGACTTTGACATCCTCGTCTGTCCCGCCTGTAGTTGAAACAGTGTTTCCTAGATAGGTTAAGGAGGTTACTTCCTTTAAGTTTCTCCCGTTGATGGTGATTGGAGTTTGTTGTCGTTGGTGGTGAGGTATCTTCATCACCTCTGTCTTCTCTATATTCACTTGAAGTCCCGTCTTCGCTGCCTCTTCTGTCAACTTGTTAGTTTTCGCCTGTAGATCTTCAAGCTTATGTGACATCAGGCACAAGTCATCGGCGAAATCCAAGTCTTCTAGGTTCAAGCGAAAATAGATAACCAATGGTGATCAATGAAGAAATGATTTAAGTATGAATGGTTAGTAAATCTTTAAAAATAACTCCTGTCTATGATAAATATAATTCACTTCAGAAGGGAATAAACTATACAACACTGAAAATGTGAACAAAACTAAATTTCTATGCACTAATGAAGTTTCAGTTGGAAATCTTAGGACCAACAGTTGACCAACACTAAGAACTACACGTCAATCAATTGCATCTCTGATGAAAGTCGGAAAACAATTCATATCTCTTAAAAAAGAAAAAAAACAAAGATAAAGCTATTGAAGTTGTTGGTGATTGATAAGACAATTGTAGTATTGCTATTGGATACATGAAGAACAATCATCATCTTTAAGAAGATAGATTATATCAAAAAAAAGTACGAAAGTTGTTCAAGAACGAAAATTCAGGTAAGCAGTTAGACAACTACACCCAAAGAAAATAAAGCAATTTAATAGAAATTGACTAAATTATACATGAAGAGTAATGGACGGATAACGAAAAAGGGATCAGTCTAAACAAGATCCCAGTGTCAACTATGATCAATCGTTGTATTAACTAGATCACCTTTATTCAAGCCGTTGAATGAGTTATACAGAAGACTCAGACATTTCTTCAGTAGAAGTCAACAGAATTTCTGATCAGAATGAACTTAGTGAAGATAAGCACTGAAGAAAAGACGGTAATTATTCTTCATAGTGTTATGTTCTCTGAGCTGGATGGTTTAATCGTGAAGCTTTCGTTGTCATTGTCGACACCATCATCAGCATTAACTTCAGACAGAAGTGAGCTGTAAGGTTTTCTCCTCAACTGGTTTACTAGCTCGTAGTGATAGTCTTGTGTGTGATTGTTTGTTTCTGCTTAAATCTTGTCAAAACTGAAGAGGAATCGAACAACAGACTTGCATTTTTTAATGTTCTGATCACCAGAGCGGATTCGAGGGAACTGGAAACTGAAGTATGCACAAAACCAACTCATGTATCGAATCCTGAACTGCGATAGCAAAAAATCAATAATAAAGGTTGTTCAAAAGAGCGAAGACTCCCTGGAGTATATAAACCTTAAGGTAAAAAGAAAAATATTGGATAACTGTTTTCTAGGAGAACGGTTATTCATCCAACTTCATCCAAAGACGTTTATTTAATTCGCTGTTAACCATAAAGTCATCCTTGACAGCCAACAAACGGATAGTCTTACCTTACTTGAAGAATGTCTCCAAGATCACGACTATATTATTGAAGTCTTTTCAAATCGCTGCATCTGACAAGCCCACGAAATCTCTTCAGTCTCTGTTATGCAGGTCAAAAGATACAATGGCAAAGAAAGTCAAACAAAACATTATCTACAAAATAAACTACTGAAACTGTGAAAAATACTACATCGGACACAGTGGTCGCCCTCTTCGCACGCTGTAAAGGAACATCAACTAGTAGTGAAGCTTTATGACATATCTTCGCTCGTACATATGGACATGGATTCGACTGGGAAAATGAGGAAATACAAAGAATCCTAGAGAAGGTTTAGCAGCTTGGTATTCAGGTCAGCCAACGATCAACAGACATCGATCCAATCAATACTATACAACAAGAAGGTCAGACTTCATGTCAGCCGGACAACTAATCAAAATAAACATGGAGACAGTGACAAGACTTTGACAGAAACGACCAATAATACCGATAGCCATCAGGATAAGCTACTGAAACAACCGTGAAGATAATCCCATAGCTCATTTCTTTTTGATGCCTGTTCCGATGATGTTGTCTATAATGACGATAAAAGCTTTACGAATAAACAACCTGATTGTGGTCCACTGAACTGGATCATGCAACAAACAGTCAGGAGCTGTGAGAAGAGGGGGATACAATGGCTCGACTGGACTGAGGAAAAGAACCTAGACGACTTGCATTTCGCCAACCATGACTTGTGTCTAATGTCACACAAACTCGAAGATCTACAGGCAAAAACTAACAAGTTGACAGAAGAGGCAGGGCAGCGAAGACAGGACTTCAAGTTAAGGTAGAGAAGACAGAGGTGATGATGATAACCAACCAACACCAACACCACCACCACCAACAACAACAACAAGCTCCAATCACCATCAACAGGAGAAACTCAAAGGAAGTAGCCTCCTTCACCTATCTAGGCAGCACTCTTGCAAATACAGGAGGCACAAGCACAGACGAGGATGTCTAAACCAGTCAGGATCGCAAAGACAGCAAGAAAGGCATCCATTCAACTGAAACCAGTCTAGAGATCTTCTGCACTCAGCAAAAGTCGTCAACAGTATCCGGATTTTCAACACCAATTCAGTCAAGTAAGTCAGTACTTCTGTGTGGTGGATGAGAGACTTGGCGAGTTACGAAAGGCACTTCCAACAAACTACACACATTCTTCAACAACTGCCACCTACACTGGCTCATTACTCAAGATCACATGGATTGTCAGAATAATGAGAATAAGCAAGAAGGAACTCATTCTGACTGGTTGGTTGGTTGGCTGGCTGGCTGGCTGGCTGGCTGGCTGGCTGGCTGGCTGGCTGGCTGGCTGGCTGGCTGGCTGGCTGGCTGGCTGGCTGGCTGGCTGGCTGGCTGGCTGGCTGGCTGGCTGGCTGGCTGGCTGGCTGGCTGGCTGGCTGGCTGGCTGGCTGGCTGGCTGGCTGGCTGGCTAGCAATGAACCAACCAACAACCTATCACTCAACAAATATGCACTGGAAGGAAGTGGAGATGGATTGGATTGGATTGGGCATACACTGAGAAGACCATTCGGAGACATCACGCGCCAAACCAGTCACTCGAGCGGAACTCAGATGGGAAACGACGAGTTGGGTGTTGGAGCCGAGGGTGACATGGAGGAGATGGTGTTAGAAAGAAATGAGAGCTTGTGGGCTTTCGTGGAACCAGGTTCGAAGGATTTCAGAGAAGAGAGTGCATTGGAGACGTGCTACTGAATCCCTATGTTCCACTATGAACCCAGGGGACAAATAATAATAATAATCTGGCTCAGAGAACATAATCCCATCGAAATTATCCACCTGAGCCACAAACATTCTTCAAAATCTCAAGATGAGATGATATCTTCATCACTCTTTACTTCAGTCGACCGAAATCTTTTAGACCATATAAGTTGACTGATGTATACTTTTGAAGTGAATTACAGTTCAGTGGTAAAATGTACAAACAAACGAAACTGTTAGCCATCGGACTTCTTGATAACTTTATTGCTGATAATGTCATTAAGCCTTCTGATGAAACTTCTATGGTAAAATACTAGAAGTTTAGAGAACATAAAATCATTGTCATGGTTATCTTGAACTTTCATGTGTGTTACCTAGTAATTGATATTCAGTTAACAGTAGTGCCATCAAGGTTGAGTTTTCTCATCAACAAATAAAATCAACACTTAATTATACTGGATTACTATTCATTTGTAAGTAAGCAAGATTAGTTGATATAAAAGTCAGTAAC